TATAACTATGACGAAAGAGCTATATGTCGGCTACACATGTATGAATGTAGATGTGCGTCGTTTTCTTACCAGCGTCAAACTTGTTTGATCGATTAAACTCTTTAGTCTATACAAAAAAGTATATCATAGCTCATCTCCACAGTGGCTCACGGGAGAGAATTTAGCTTATTTGTTATCATTGCTATTTTGCTTCTTTTCGTGGAACAGGCAACGGCTTTTTTCGCCACAATTGTTTCTTTAAAAAAGAAAATATTAAATCTCAGGATATTTACGGATTTTCTGTAATTGAGTTTCGTATTAAATTTCAAAAAGACTCAAGTCTGCATAGGTTTGGTAAATGAAAACAAACAATATTGTATAGAAATTACTTTAAGTAACCTTTTTGTGATGTTCTGAAGTGGAACTGCATCAAATACTTGTAAAGTTGTAGCACATTTTGATTTTGTTGTATTGATATGTGAATTGGGCAAAATGCAAATAATCATCAAAACACTTATGCTTCCAATGGTGTTTATAATTCATTTTTAGTTTTAATACTTCTACCCTTCTTTTCACTTTGTTTTGTTTTTCCTATATTTGCAATATAAGTGCACAATTTGAATGATTAACACAGTTTTCACCTCAACAATAAATTTCATAAGCAGTTGGTAGTGCATTTTGTTGTCTGAGTATCCACATTTGGTGTTTTCTTCATACATGAATGATGAAATGCATATGGATATGTCATAGCAAGGCAATAAAACCAAATGAATTAAATACCTATAGTGTACTTTTATGCTAGAAGCTTAAAAGCTTTCTAGAAATTATAAAGTTATTGGATTATATTACCTCTATATCATCAATCTCATGAAAAGAAATAAGAAGAAAAATATTTGTAGAAAAGCTTTGAAAAGTGAAAAACATTTATTTAAAAAAGCAGCAATGATGCATATGATAAATCTCCATTCTGTACTGTAATAGGTAAATAAGCTCAAACTGTTTCTTAAAGAAATATAAGAAATATATAAGAAATATACAGTACAGTAATTTTAAAGGTTTCATCACTGAATATTTAATGCTTCAGTATAGTGCATTAGATATTAGTAACATTTAAACAACACTCAACTAAAATATTTTGATAAAGATATGACATTATTTAAACATTAAGTTATATAAAACCCAATGGCTTATACAGTTTGATGCTTCACATCTGCATCGAGTAATCATCAATCTCAGTACAAATGTTTACATAGACACAAACTTTATGGCCTTGCCATTTTATATGTTGTGAATTGACATTTAATTAAGCATCAAAACACACACAATCTTCTTGCCATCTTTTTTTGGTTCATGAACTTTAACTTCAAAGCATTCAAGGCATCATAAGTGAATCCATTGTCTCCATCCATAGAATTTGACCATGATCAAATTAAAAAACTCTGCATAAGGCAGACAATAAATCAATTATCTTTACAGCATTATCATTTTTTTAAGACTCTGCCTGGTCAATAACACCTTCCAGTCATCTTTACTCGTTGGTCTTCCCTGCATGTTGTCAGCAAATAGAACATAACAAGCTCTGCTCCAAATCATGGGTACTGTTGGGGCTGATCATTTCTTTTTGATACTTTTCACAGAGCAAAATGTGTGCAGGGTCTTTTTGCTTTAGGAAACTATTTTGCAAATAGATAGGTAAATTAGCCGCTCCAGTTATTATAGAACTCAATGGTTGAGACACGTAAAATAAGACTTGTAAAGGTGAATCTAATCAGGTTGGCGAGGAAGCAACGTCACGAGTATTTCGTCGAGCCGCAGCGTTGGACTCTAAGTGGAAAACAGCAGCAATGCTTGAACCATAAGTGTTCAAAGAGGGGTGTGTGTAGGATATTGCATTCTTTTGAGCTTAGCAATAAAATTGTCGTACCTATGTTAGTTTCCCTTTAACAACTCTTTGTTTTAAATACGTTTTGTAAGTTCTTTGTTTGTTTAGTTAGTTCTTATTTTTTGTTGCAACGCGTGAGAACTTGAAACGCAATGAAAGAGTGAGTACTGCTAATGACGAAAAGGAAAGCTCGACTTATGTAATTACCGATAGTATAAATAACATGTAAATAATAAACTCTAATAGATAGCGTAAGAATACTCCAGTGATGTACTTGTAGCTTGTTTAGCTTGTAAAATGAAAGGTTCAAAACGAAGAGTGTTGGTGAACCAGCTGAGGAGCGTGCGTTTTCTGATTGGTCAGTTCTTAGGCGCGTACTTAATTCTACATGGCACACAAGTAAAAATTACTTGTTAATTGCATCTCATTTCTTTTTGTTTTTTATGAGCGAACGCTTTAATTTTTAAGGTTTGCTGCTTGCGTAAAGCCTGGCTCACATATGACTGAGACATGACTGAGGCATACCTGTGACGAGGCCTGCGTTGTTCTTAAGGCAAATGTAAACACTCATCGCTGACACACTAATGGTGTTTGAGGCAGTCGTAGTAGTTACCTGCAGTATGCCGCCGAAATGCCGTAAAAGTTGAGTTGTGTTCAAGTTTCCCGGCATGTCGGCGGCTAATCAGCGGTGTACGGAACTTATTTTGGTTATTTCTGTTAAATGTGAACGCTTCTCCGATAGACCGGCGGCAATACTTCCCATCATGCATTTGGGTACAAAGATGGCGGATGAATTTTCAACACAGGACATGGAACCAAAAAAAGACACAATGCAAAAATTTCAATCACTTTACGATAAAAATAAAAACTCTTGGATACAGTACGAAACTATCGAGCTATTTAGGATAAATCGTGTCCAGAGTACAAAAATCAAAGAGTAAAATACAAATTATTCTCTTTTTTTCAAACCGGCTCTCCCATCTTTGATGTATTTTGAAACGACTGTTAAAGGGGCCGCACAATTTGCAAATAGTAACGCTATTTTCAAATTACGAAGCACTATTTTGTCAAATTCAAACTGCCGCTAAATTTTTGTGGTCTATCGGCAATTTGAATTATGTCATTGTAAAGCATCGCAGCCATGCCTGAGGTCTGTCTCAGCCACAAGATCAGAAAGTATCTCAGGCTTGCCTTAATAATGCCTCAGACATGTCTCAGTCATAGGTGAACCAGGCTTAAGAAGAGAATTCTTTATGTCGTTGTAAGGGTAAGGTTCTTTTCAAACGTCACATTTTACATGAACCAAATGCAATAAAAATAAAATAAAATGAGAAAGAAATCCTCGATATCTTTTGTTTTAAATGCATTCGGCTCATGTAAAATTCGACGTTTCAAACAGGACTAAGATAAATAGTAAACTCAATGACATAAAAAGCACTTAAAAAATGGCGGTATTTTCCGAGAACTCGAATATTCGTTAACCGCCTGAACGTACATTTCGACATTAATGTTTGTCATTATTTAAAATTTTCTAATGAGGAACAGGGATAATTTTGAAAATATATAAGCAAATAACATAATGGTAAGGAAACATTATTTGCTTTTTAATTCATAGGTTAAAACGTTTTCAAAGGCAGTATTGAGAAATGTTTTCGACGAGGATCAGGGCATCTCATTACTAAGATATAGTGTAATTTATATTTCCACTTTTATATATATCATTCCCAAATTTATTATTAATTTAAACGTTTGTTTGTTTAGAGATTTGATAGTAGACACCAATGTTCGATAGACTAGTGAAACGCAGGCAATAGCGAGATGTTTTTGACATTATGCAGATACATAACATAGAAAATGTAAACAACAAAGTTGTAGTGGTTGTGTTGGCAAAACCTTGTTATGGTGTTGAGTTTTGATATCCAACATTTTGAGTTCCCACCCATTTTTGTCAGATTATATCAATCATACTGGTATTTTGTAATTGTCAATCATAAAAAAGCAAATCCTTACGTACTCATCGAGTGCCTATTTTTTAGAAATTATCATTGTATAAAGAATGTTTCAATGATACATCCTGTATAATTATTAAAAGAAAACTTTAAAATGTTATAAGCACATTAAACAAACAATTGTCGAATGCGTCAGCAACCAACCTGATGAAACGGTAAATGAATTGAGGAAATAAAAATTGATTAACATAAAAGTTGTTTAAAAGTCACTATTTGTTATTCGGCTTATTTTGATATTTATGTTGCATGCTTCGTTGTTTGTCCGTCTATGCTTAATTAATGTTTTGCTTGCATTTATGTGTCTGTTGATATCGAAAATAATGAGTTACAATGAAACATTGTTAGTGGTCCAAAAACAAAATAATATTTTATGAATAATAGAAATGACATTGTTTAGTACATCCAAAGAAGTTAAGTCAATTGAGGAAAAAAATATTTCTTGTGATCATTTATGTACATTTATACCTGTATTAGATGGCAATCCTTGACAGAATAGCGAAATGGTGATCCATTATGATCCATTATAAATTACTGGAACTCTAAAACCCTTTAGATTTGTGCTATAAAAAAATTGAATGTTTAAATAACAAAGTTTGACCATGGGCGGCCCAAAAAATCACTAAAATTGTATAAATCAACGATATCTCGCCCCATTCCATTGTAACAGACCGTGCCCCGCAAACTTTGTCTTGATTAATTGTATCTATATTATATATTTACGTAAAAAATATATTAATAAATAATAAAAACAAATACATAAATGAATACATAATATAGATGCAATTAATCAATACAAAGTTTGCGGGGCACGGTCTGTTACAATGGAATGGGGCGAGTTATCGTTTGTTTATACAATTGAACTGATTTTTTGGGCCGCCTTTGGTTTAATCTCACAAAGTTAAATCTATAACAAATGTGCTGCGCCAAGAAAATGCTCTAGTGAAAAATGTGAAATCTCTATTTCATCAAGACTTCAGCGATGATAATATACCATCTACGCTTGGTGGTTATATTGTTTACCTCTGACTGACCATGAATTTCTTCAATTGTTTTTGAAGGTCTTTTAATGTCATTCCATATTCCATATTTGTTTTTAACTTCTCTAGTTTAAACATAACAGGACAATCCAGTTATATACAGCCCAGTTGTTCATTTCTAGCTCCACAACACTGAAAACATATCTACAATATGAAAAAAATTAAATGTCATGAAAAAGCCAAACCATAATTATTAGGTTATTTATTATGCATACCTCTTTAAGATGACTGTATTCTCTTTCCCTGTTCCCCACACTACTTGCCAGAATAAAGACAGACTTTTGAGGGTTGCTACGACAACTTTGACACAAACCGTGCTGTTAATTGTTCAAATATAGGACAGTGCAGAGTTGTAAAAAACCGAGAAATCGAACGCTAAAATTTGTTCAAATAAATTAATTTAGCTTTTACATCAATTCATGAATGTACTTATGACAACTAACTTTTTGTTTCTTTGCAATAACACGATGTTGAGGGATATAGCGGGGTAGTTGTGTATACCATGAAAACACATCAACACCAATCAAGGAAACAACTCGATCCAATAGAGGAAGTATTTGTTTCTGAACATAGTAGATGGTATTGAGGCGTACATTTTATCATTTAACACATCAATAGGACTGAAGAAAATTAAAACAAGAAGATTGTTTAATGAAGACAATCATATTTATACTAAAGTATTTATTAATAACATTCCAACAGCTTTTGTCATGATACATAACGTAAAATAATGAATGACAGCAACATTTCAACTTACTCTTTAACCAATTGAATCAATGGTAGTCCAGGACTGCCGTTAACAATGACGTAAGGTACACGTTCTCCCACGCGAGGTTCCGCGCAACGATCACGTGACAAATGACGTCTAAACAAATATAGAAATAGTGAAACTGTAATCATGACAGCAATATAAAGAGGATTTTTCATTTCAACAATAAAACGAGCCTTGCAATTTCCAAAGCTGGAACACATGCTTTTGGTTTATATCTTTTCATACCACTATATTCCTTAGCATAGATGAAATCCTGAATCGATACTCTATCTTTCATCATTCTAACGAACTGCCGCTGGACAAACTTCTTCACAAGACTCACGTCTCTTTCTTCAAACAAAATCCTTAAAGACTTCTCTAAAATCTGTTAGAAAAATAAAATCACAAACTGCTTTAAACTCAAAACTACTCCCTACCTGCAGAATCTTGTGTGATTAAATGACACAGTAAATATTGTCGATTGTTCCATACCTTTGCGACTGCTGGACATGTATCTCGCCGTATAGTCTCTATTCCTTTCGCATCAAACACTGGATCTTTCTGTTCTAATGTTTCGTACATATAACCAACGTAACGTTTCTTTGTTAGAAGAACACAAGGCATATATACCTAAAAAACATCCCTAGTTATACATAAATGTATCTTAAAGTCCAAATCTCTCAAATAGAAACAATTTTACAGTAGATAAAAACCTTTTCAAACTTTAGTTTCACAGGTTTAGGATTCTCTGCAGTAACAGCATCAACAATTTCTTTTCCAATCTTAAACGCTTCCTCTTTACTGGCACATTTTACTAATACGAAAAGACTATTGGTGTCCTCATATACCACATGAGCACTCCACTCATCCCATGTGTTCACGAGATTGATAGCTCGTTCTAGGGTCTCGCGTGCTTTAGGAACAATGGCGTCAGCAATCTGATGAAAAACAGAAAAGAATATTCAGATGGTTTTAAGAGTAAAATGAATCCAGTATGACAATAAGCACTTGACAGATTTTCAATCAGAGAATGTGACTTAGTCCAGACTCACGATAATCATAATAATCAACATGTATCTACATTATATATATTATATATTTACCAATTATCTGTAGTAAATATATTATATATTTACTACTGATGTATAACCATAAGTGACATTTGCAATCAACTTTAAAGCAAGTTGTCGAGCATCAAGAAGTTGAAGAAGAGTCTAAAATGTAAATTATTTATGATATTGAATGATTAAAGAAGACGAACGAAGAGTGGAAAGGCATCTTTTTGGAACATGATGAAAACTCCATGACGTTTTAGCTATTGGATCTTATAAAACATCAAAGATCGCTTCGAAAACAAAGGTTTCAAAAAACCAACTTACTTTATCATCTTTACAATCTTTCATAGCTTTCTTTACCATAATACGTGTGTATAATATCTCCTCTAACATTCTAAAATAAATTAAACTTATTGAAAATATAAAAGCCAAAGATATCAAGACCCATTTAGGACAGTAAAGACTTAAGAAGGAACGCTATGTACATTGCAAAATATACAACAAAATGCAAATGTTATTTTTTCAACAATCTTTTTAATCAATAAAAATGTGACCTGTAACCAAATGAATGTAAAATATCCCACATTACCTTGGTAAAATTCCTCGTCTTATGTTAGATTTTACAAAAACAGAGCCATTGGCGCTTACATGAATATCGTCTTGCAGTTTCTGAAAGGAAATGTATTGTTTCAAATGTATTGCTTGTCGTGATGGTAATTTATTTAAAATTCTCGCCTCCAGTAATGTTGGAGGAACATTGAACGATGTACAACCAAACTCAAAATAACCAACGACATGTAAGACAGACAAAATGACTTTTTACCCATGAATTTTACAATCCATGCTACACGACAGAAGAAGATGAGCAGACTTCGGAAAGAATCTTATTGCAGAAACAACTTTACTGTGACCAGACCTAAGACAAAGATGAAATAGTACAATAATACATAAGTAAGAATATCTCCATTGCTTTCTTTTATCACGACGGTAGAAGAATGAACTACAGGAAAAAATACATAAATGTTATTACAAAATGCTGTATAAAGTGAATATTTGCATCAGGAAGTATCGTTACGTTTTGTCGAGGTTAGTAGAGTCCTGTGAAGGACTGTTTTTGTTGTTGTTGACTGACGTTTCGACAACCTTAGCAGTAGTCATCTTCAGAGTCAAATGATAAGTAAATGTCAGGTTAGCCGTGTTTCTTAAAACAAGTGCTAAGGAAGTCCAATACAATACTACAAACATACGTACGTAGTACTAGAACAAATCATTACTTTATAATAAATAACACACTGATAAATATGATTTTATAAACATATCAAATGACTATAACATATCTAAAGACTATAGCTCATGCATTATTACACCAAAGACTAAAGTTAATGTATTTTCATTCAAAAGACTATAGCCATGAATTTTCACACCAAAGATTACTGTTTATGCATTTTCACTCCAAAGACTACAGTTCATGCATTATTACGCAATTAACTATAATCCATGCATTTTTACACCAACAATTATAGTCGATGCATTTTTACACCAAAGACTAGTGTTAATGCATTTTCACTCAAAAGACTATAGGCCATGCATTTTAAATCATAGACTAATGTACATGAATTTTACTCCAAAATCTATAGTCCATGCATTTTCACTCCAAAGACTAAAGTCAATGTATTTTAACACAAAAGACTATTGTTTACGAATTTTCACTACAGAGACTATAGTTGATGCATTTTAACACCAAAGACTATTGTTCATGCATTTTACTCATCTTTAGCGCATTAATGTATTACTTATAAGACAAAAAAGAAAATTCCTTTTCTTTTCTATTTACGAACTAATAGTGCGTTTAAAGTACGAACGAAAACGCCTCACAAGCAACAAAATAAAAGTATATTCTTACTATAATTTGACATTTCAGCTTTGCGCGGTTGGCTTTCATAAATGGGGTAGAAACAGCTGACGCCTGAAGTTCCATTTTATGAATCAGCCTTATAAAGGCGGTTGTAAAATATTAGACTCTTCAAAGGAAAGTAGTGAAACAATTCAATTGAATGTATTTTTAAACACATATTTCATAGAACATCTATGTACAGATCTTAAAATTAAGAAAAGTTGTCAAAGAAGAAACAAACTAAGTGACAATAGAGGAGAAAATTTTGCAAACTTTCAACTTAAATTCAAACTAAATAAGGCATGCAGCACACTCCTCCTTCATCAACTTCGCCACATTCCCACATCGAAAGTGTAGGACAGGAATCCGCATAAATATCTCCAATTAGGTTGGAGTTGTCGCAAAGACATCGTGCACGTTTTGGTGTTTCTAAACAGAAAAAATATAATATTAGTATTCAAAGAAGCCAACAATGAATAAAGTAAATGGTTTGAACCCGGAAATATCGTTACATGTTTGTAGATGTAGATCGTCCAGGTTAGCATTGTTGTTGTTGACTGACGTATCGACAACCTTAGCAGTAGTCATCTTCAGAGTCAAAATGACATCAACAATTCATACCACGCACAATATGGCAACTAAATATTCTGGCCTATTCTTTCCGCATTTAAAATTTCATATTTTTAGTCTGCATGATAAATCCTAAAAGCTAGCCCCTAGTCTTCAGTCGTAAACAGATGACCAGACCACGAAATACATGGCGTACAAGCGTAACAAGCGATATGGCATCAAAGTATATAAATTAAACAGTTTTTCAGGTTTTGCTATACGTTGTATTAGCTACTATAGTTACGAAAACCTAATTTACCAATTGTGAAAGGCATCATGGTTTAAGGTGCGTATTTGAATGTATATAATATCGCGACCATAATTTGCTAAACAATTTTATTTTACACTAAGTTGAAGTCATTACCTTCTTCATCAAACGTCTTGATATTAGGAGAAAGTTTTCCGGCATCGACAGCGATGACAAGTAAGATCAAAAACAATGCAACTGCCTTCATTTTTCACAATATTTTCCTTTTAAAATATACATTTTTTTATTATAGTGATGAATGAGAGTTAAAGATGACATGAAGTGAATTTTAGTTTTCAATATTTTCAGTCATACAATGATTAAAGAAGATTTGAATCAAAACTAAAAATTGTCTTTAATGTTCCTTATTTATGCTCTTATTTCTGAAATAGTGTTTATCAAATGTCACATTAAAATATTAAATAATAGCGTATTTTCTCCGTGGTTCACTTGTGCATTCACAATGTAATATGATGATGTCTTGATGAGAATACAGAGCTTGGTGACTTGTTGAAGTCTCATAATGGCGGCGCCAGGTAAAATTTGTACTTCATATTTGCATTTTAGCACTATTGAATATTTAGCTCAGGAAGAAATATTTCCTTTTTGACTTTTTTCTGTTATTTCCTTGTAAGTTAGAGCTATTTGACATCAACTGCTATTTGCTGTTTACTTTTTATTTTAATTTACTGTTGCAAATAGAATATTAGATAGAATATTAGATAGACTACTAGTGCCAACAGATTGATTAAGAAACTAAAACAATCAATTTTTGCAACCAATTAAAAATTCCAAGGATACCCACAAAGCCACAAATCTGTACAGTTGTAAGGAGTAGGATTACGAAAGACTGCCTTGCCTTACACTCTACCTTTTGGTTTATTGTAAAGGGGAACTAAAACATACATAATTATTATTTATATCACTAAAATATATGAGATTTATCAAACTGGTACACAATATGTTTGTTGCTACTTGCAGCCTTGGAGTTATTTGAGGACATCATGACTGACAGTGAACCTGAGCTTACAAGTACAACAGATGTAGAAACAAATGACGACAATGCCATTGAAATGATTGACAACAATACACCAATTGAAAATATGCAGGTTGAGGAGGTTACTATCAGCAAACCCAAACGTGGCCTACCAGTACATCCAATATGGAGTTACGCATTTGATGACCCGTCTTGTTTCTCCATCAAAAGCCCTAACAATGCTGTATGCAAACACTGCAAAACATCTGTTCGCCATCACCACAAAACTGCATCTGTCAAAGCCCACCTTCTAAAATGCCCCAAGTTTAGAAAAGTAATGCTGGACATGGCTGTCAATGATCGCCCAGAATGGTGGATTGGGAAAAAGGGCACAACGAAGAAGTCAATTGGGTCAGCAACCTGCCAAAGCTCTTTGTCTGTTAGTACCAAGTCACAATCATCAGTAAGATCATTCATCATACCCTCGTTCACTGCTTCAGAACAAAAAAGGTTCAATCATGAAATGGCAATGTTTTTCTACTGCACAGGTTCGAGTTTCCAGAGGGTTGAAAATAAATTTCTCCTTCGGGCTGTTCAATTAGCACGCCCAAGTGCTAAATTGCCAACCCGCAGGCAGCTAGCAGATGATAGTCCTGGAGGCCTGCTTGATGAATGTTTCCAGAGGGTAAAGAAAGAGGTCAATAACGTGCTTTCCACTGATAATCTCTTTGTATGCATTACAAGTGATGCATGGTCGAATGTAGCGAATGACCTTGTTGTCAATTATATGGCCGTGTGTCCAACAAAATCATTATTCTTGGAAGCAGTACACACAGAAGGGCAAAGCCACACAACTGAATGGCTTTTCACAGACCTAGGTCGGGTAATAGATAGTCTTGGAGACAATGTAGTTGGTGCAGTTACAGATAATACAGCAGCCAACAAAAAGGCATGGAGTAAACTGAAAAAGCAATACCCTACCCTCTTTTTCCATGGCTGTGTGTCCCATGGGCTACACCTTCTAGTAAAAGACATCTTTGCAGTCAAAAAGAAGGATGCCCCTGATGGTGGTCCAGAGTATCCAGCTGGTTACCCATTTGAAGACCTGCTCCAGTTTACCGTCGAGTGTAAGGATGTTGTTTCTTTTTTCCATAATCATCATGTCCCTAAAGCAGAGCTAAAGAGAGCATTGGCTGCAGCTAAGTTGAGTGGTTTGGTACAGCCTGTACCAACACGTTGGGGCACATTGGATGGCTGCTTAAAATCGTTGCGAAAGGCTGACAATATCCTCAATGGTTTGGTATCTGAGCGTGATTTCGTTACCAAAGGAATTGCCAAACAAAGAGAAAAGCGTGTGACAATTAAGGCAGTAATCACAGATCCCAATTTTGTTGTCAAGCTTGAAAAATGCATAACAATACTGGCACCAATCGGTAAGTACATAAAGTTCTTCCAAAATGATGCAGTCCCAAGTTCTGATGTGTACAAGGCGTTTATTGAGCAAGAGGAGGAGATGCACAGCCTGAAGAATGGTGATGCTGACAAGAAGGCTTACTTGGTAGAATTGGTGCATAACCGGTTTAATTTTATGTGTGGAGATGCGCATGGGGTGGCCTATCTTCTAGATCCAAGATACTTGGGTGATGGAATGCTGCGCACTCTTTGAAACGAGATTAAAGATTACATTTTTAAGTTTCCAAAAAAGGATGGCACAACAAGTGAGGAACAGATGAACCAAATGGCACAAAAGTACACTGCCTTTCGGATTGAAGCGCTTAGCGAAAGAAGTCAGGAAACCTTCCGCTTCAAAATGATTGGCAAAGCAAAGTCAGTACTCCAGTGGTGGTTAGCAGACGGCACAGATTGGCCATTACTGCAAAACTTAGCCGTGCGTGTTTTCTATGGCAGCATCGAGTGCTGCCTCAGAGCGGAATTTTTCCACCTTTGGACTCATCCATTCCAATTAAGAAATCGTCTTGGTCCCGAGAAAGTTCGGAAACTGGTATATATCAAAACAAACACCCTTCAGATGTCAGATGTGATGTTCAAAGAAAAGTACGGCGAGTACGACTCAGACGAAGAAGTTATTTTGGAAGATTAGAGGTCTAGCAAGGCACTAAGGATCTTATCTAGTTAAAGTAAAAAACACTTGTGTAAAGGGGACATTTAAATTTGGAACGTTTTGAGATGCTTTGTTATTGGGGTTCTTTGTTATCCATTTAGCTGGTTTGAAATTTTGTTAAAGTTTTAATGGTTTTCTCGAAGAGTTTGTTTTAATTGTCTTTAATTGTCTTTAATTGAATTAAAGAACAAAGAAAAAAATTTAAAAAACCTTATTTAATCCATCCCTGGGACAAACAGATGACATTTTACTACTGAATTCAAACTAAAAATACAGTCAAAAACAAAGTTTAGACACTCTTTCACTTTTACAGACAATAAATTTCGATAATTTTTGGCAAAATTGATGTCGAAAGCAATTCGCTTCATGTCACCTTAAAGCCATGTGACGTCAATTTGCTTGCACTTTAATAACTGTTTGCATGCTTCTCATAATATTGCGGTATAATGAAGGCAAGGAAACCCACTAGATGGGGTAGTCGATATTGTATGACTGAAAATATTGAAAACTAAAGTTCACTCATGTCACCTTTAAGCAATACAAAGACATGTTACTCTCGAGTTAGGTGGCTAAAGCTTCACTAAAGCAAGAAGTCGCTTAAGTGTGTTAATCATTCTTTCTGAAATTCGCATTTTTGGGCAACACTATATCGCATGAAATTTTCATGGAAGATTATAGCGTTTGAAATGTATTTGAGATTGTGCAGTGAAGCTTTCTCACTTTCTATGTATGTTACAATGTTACAATCACTGGTTTACCGCTCAAAACAGACCTAATACCTAATGGTTTAGACATCATTCCGCTTCATCATTTATTTCTTTTTAAAATTTTTCCAAAGGCCTTTTTCCACGAATACATACAGAGGGATTTAAATTTTCACTTTACAAGTTCACGCATGACGATAAACAATGCACAACCATAATAACATGATAAACTTATTTCATTTTGCCTATATCATAAAACTGAACTGAACTGCAGTTTTCGTCCCAAATTTTGCGTTGAAAGTACAAAGTGTATATATTATGTGCCCTCCCGGCTATCACCACAGTGCAATGGTGACTCCTAAACTTGAGACACAGGATGTACGGTTACACATTGTATGGATTGTATTGTAGAGTCACCAGAGTGCTCAAACCTATAAAGGTGAGCTGCATATATATATATATATATGTGTGTGTGTGTGTCTGTGGTGAAACATGAAAACCAAGGGTCTTTGGAAGCTTCCCAAAGTTCTGGGTGTTCTATGCCCGCCATGTCATAACGCAACTGATGAAACTGTTTCGTATTAGTTATTTTAAATCGGTTTTTCTTCTCTTTCGAGCAAACATAAAAGTCCTCAAAAATCCTTTTGTGGTGTTTCATTACGGAGAAATGACTTTGTCAATGTTTTAAACCATTTGAAATTTTCAATTCTTGCATGGTGCCAGTTTATCAATTTGAAAATTTGATACAAAATTTGATGCACTATGTCATAAACACTCAAGCAAGATGCTAAACATATGGGTGTCTTTCATATAAGGCCCATCCATAACGTAAAAGTTGTGGGATGTGCCCTGTTCGGACATCCCGACACTCATGCATGGCTTCCCAAGTCCCTGACAAACATAAAACTGTATCACTATTTTGGGCATACAGCCGAGTAGTGTTATTGCTTGTGTTATTTCATTTATACTTTGATACGACTATATTGCTCATTACTGACGATTCTGGTCCAATTGCTATTGATTTATGTGTAGTTACACTTACTTCTTGAACAGAGAGACTTCCCACGCGGAAAGTAATTTACAGCTTCATTCGGCTGTATCTGTACATGTCATTCACGTGTTAAAATGTTTATATATCTACTTTCACATTAAAGTAAATGGTTTGAACCCGGAAGTATCGTTACATGTTTGTCATTTGACTCTGAAGATGACTACCGCTAAGGTTGTCGAAACGTCAGTCAACAGTATTGTAAACAGAGAGTGGGTAATGTGGGATAACAATGCGTAGAAATACCGAACTGGACTAAATACATCTACGAACAATGCATCATGTATCTTGTTGTATTCGCCAACTGAGATGTAAATTATGTTTGTGATCATTTGCGATGCTGCATTATATTTTCGTT